TAAAAATTTGACAAAGTAGCCGTTTATCTAAATAAAAAAGTTCTTTATTACGTACTTTATTTGTATTGGATTATATAATTTATTTTATTCTTTCTAATAACTTAATTCGCAAATTGTTTAAATTAGCCGTATATTTTTAAATAGTTATTTTCTGCAAATATTATTCTTTATTTCCGCTATATTATTTTATTTTTATCCATATATATATAATTACTAATAACAAAGAAAATATCCCTTCTTTAAATCCATATTCGATTATAGACTGGTTTTGTTTACCTATCTGTTTGCAAAACATTGTTTCGGTCTTGATATAATTAGGATACCTCGAAGGTCTGCCAGAACATGGATGCTGATATTAAGAAAAGGGTTCGGAGTATCTTTAAACTGTGATTAAACTTACTACTGATCATGACAAGGGTCTGAAGTTTAATTGAATATTAATGCTAACTATAATGTTTGAGATCTAGCGATTATACTAACAAAATCCATGTTGTATATTTTAAACAAAAGAATTAATTTGATTTTTCTTTAGCGTAAAAAACAATTTGTGATAATTTGTAATCAATTACACATCCAGAAATTTCGTAACTGTTGACATTTAATTGAGTTTCCTCAAACGAATTTAGGCCTTTCTTTGATATATAAACATTGTATTCTCTTAGGTACGTTATACATCGTTGAGTAAATTCAGCACAAACCATCTAATAAAATTATTTCGATTTAATGACCTATTTACTAACAGTATATTTCACCACAAAAATTAAGTTACGTGTATTTGGGGTTTTGTCAGCACTATAAACGTGACAGAATTTGGAATAATGCCATAACCTTCTTTCAAAGATAACAGGATGCTTTATACTGTCCTATAGATATATTTATATGTAACTTTTCAGAGAAATAGTTCACAGATTCTGATTCACAACTTAAAAAAAAATAAGTATGTCAGGTTTCTGAACACAATTACCTACTTCTTAGAGTTCAATTTTACGAATCAGATTTCAATTCGAAACGTAGCTCTCGGGATAAATTACATACGCAATTATTAAAACTCAAAAATTACGGATTGTATTAAATAATAATAACAATATATAGACAAATATTAGTTTTATTTTTACGTTCCAAAGATATACGGATTTCCTATAAATAAGACTTAATGCAATACTTTTCATGGATTACACAAACGTTTCAGAAGCCAATTAAAAATTTTCATTTATACGAGATGATCAAAACGTATTGAAGAATAGTTATTACAAGTTGCAATTAGTGCTTCCATTTCGTTATGATAACTTTGCCAACAATCGGTTTTCGTGCATAGTAGAATACTTTGAATTTCCGGATGCTGCGGCTACACATCGATATGACGGAATTTCTACATTAATGGAAATGAACATTTTAATAATATGCAAATTTTAAAGTAAGAATAGAGTATTATTATTCTGACGAGATATTTAAATCAACATTCATTTTCTACAAAGTCGAATTTAGTTGAGGTGTTGTTATATAACGCTTAAATTTCTAATTTAAATATAAATGCAATAGTAAATGTGAAATATTAAACATATTATTGACACAGTACATGTATATGATATATTTATTTGCCAATGTTATGACAAGGGCATGTTACGCTCCAACTTCCATACATTATGCTAACGTATCATACTGAATACGGTCCAAATGTCATGTATTTGCTGTGCATTCATGCGTTTTACACATAAACTTCTATGTCACTTGTATGTTATGAAGCTGAGTCAGAAAGACCCTGTTACCTAAAATCTTTTTTTTGACATTTGTGCGGTTTCTAGATTAGGTTTTCTATCTGAAAACCGAACAATAACGCCTGACTGCATAACAACCACATGGCTTTTGTCAATATTTAGTATGAAAAGTTCTTCATAACATAGCCTTTCCATAACATTGGTCTGCTGTGAAGCAGAATCGGTCTATTAATTTTTAATTCATATATATGTACATAAAACTATTAAACTTACTATTTATTAAAATTAATGTGAATTAATAATTAGTAATAATTAATAATTATAAGTAAATAAGTAAATATTATATTATAGAACAGAATTATTAAAGTAATAGGAACTGTATTATTTCCTAAAATTATATCGAAACTATCGTCCTTTGATTCATAATTACAATTTTCAATCAGACATTTTACAATGAAAAAAATTATAAACTCTTCAAATAATTGTAAAAATTGTATTGTAAATTAACATAATGTTAATTAATTTAAAATTATCATTAAAAGTTTCATTATTGGTTTATAGGCCATAAGCATTTAAAAGTTTAAGTGAACGACATTTGTCTATAATAAATATAATTCCTAGTAAAAAATAATACATTTTTTATGATATTCAAATAATGACGATCCTATATATCATTTCTAAAAAATTCACACGATGTTCCACACCGTCATTGTAATTCTTTGCATGCCAAACACCGTTCCCTGAGTACTAAACTTTACGCGCTTACTAACATAAGTTATTCTTCAAACAAATACTTAGTTACAAACTTATAATATGATCCATAGTATCTTTTCCAATATATAGGTAATATTTCACTGGAAAACGTGTCATCCAAGAACAAACTTAGTCTAAAAATCATATTTTAAACTTGGTATTGCTTTTGATAATAGTATTGTATTTCAAACCAAAAGTAATTTAAAGTCCGAAGGATGCAAAGTTGTAGTTTGATGTATAATTAGTAATTAAACTCTACTTAAATTCCTTATATTAGCATGCAAAGATTTAGAGAAATTGTATACACAAATTGTAATTTTAATAATTCACTAAAGAAGTTGATTATAGTTTATCTAGAACTTGAAAAGTTTGCTCTTTAATTCCAAAATTTTAATTGAACATTCATATATGAAAACTATAACTTGACGTAATTAACTCTTTTCTTAAATTGTACGTCTCATATACTTTTATTGAGTTTTCGTGCACTATAAATTACATGCTGACATATTATGTACTCGAGTAATATTATGTACACGTACATAGTGTACTATTGTAAACTTCTAAAGAATAATGTACATATGCATTATTATGAACCAGAACACTATTGCATACTCATATTCCATTACGTCTTCTTGCACTATTATGTACTCGTACACTATTTCCTACTCATACACTATTTCCAACTCGTAAATTATCATGTGCTCGTAAAGTAGTATATAATCCAAAATTAATATAAACTCTAATATTTTTACATTTTCTCAATTCAGCAAACTCGGATACTTACCTTTCAGTTTTATCGAATATTCTTATTTCTCGAATATTATAAGAAATAGCCCTAAAGGTCCTAAATGAAATTGAAAACAAATAAATAATATTATACTTTCATGAAAATTCAAAAACATGAAGGTGGCATTATGGACAATAAAATCGTGAATTCATGTTATTCCATATTTGTACCGCAATACCCGAACCGAATCAAAAGGCAAAGGTAAGTACATCGTTTATTTTATGACTTAACATAACAATATAACACACCTTCAAATAACCTTATTTTATGATTTCTGTATTTCTGTATATATTTTCACGCTTCATCGAGAAATTTATATATAAATATATACATATATATATATATATATATATATATATATAATATAGCCCCATATACCGATATCTACCGACGTTTACAAGACAGCCTTTATTAAATTCTTGTACCGATTACTCGAGACGTGGCATTCTGCTGTTAAAAGGGTGATAGAAAATACTGATAAATTAAACATAATAAATATCTCTACTCCAGAAAACAAAATAACAATTGTATTAAAAAATGTCGGACGATCTCGAGTTGTCAGCATTTCGTTCATCAAAACATTAATCATGCTTAAACACCAAAGCTTTCTGTTTCTTTGTGACAGTTATAATTACGTCTAATAAATTTTAAACATTCAATTTATAATTTTATATAAGAGAAAGAGAAATTGAAACAAGGTACAGCTTACGGAGTTTTCTATTTCAAAATATAAAATTTGTGTATTGGCATATTTCACTTGGGTGACATGATTAATGAGCCTAACGATATCAAACAAAAAACACAATTATTAGTGATATGTTTAGGATTAACTTATTTTTTAATATGTACCTAATGAGTTCATCATAGGTTTAGAAATTAAAAAAAAGAAAAAAAAACAGTCTAATTGTAAATAAATTACAAATTCTCTCACACTAATAAATTGTATTTTCTGAATTATTTGTATTATTTATTGTAACTCAATTTTTATTGTTAATACTATTTGTAATAAATCAAAAATATAACACACACATAAATATATAGGTCTTTTTTTACTTAAAAACATGTTTTTATATTTATATTCATTTTATCAAGTGAAAATCTATATAAAGTAGTGTTTGATTTTAAGCTGTCCGAGACAGAAATAGGACGGGAATTTGTGATTGCAAAATTAAACTTTTACCATTATGCCTCGGGCAAACTCATTTAACAAATGTGAACAGACTATATATTATAGTCAATAAAAATTGGAACTTCATAGGTATTGCTTCTATACGTTTGCGCCATGATCAGGAAGTCAATTTCAAAACAAAACACCATTCTTCACTTCCTAAAATATTACGAACAGCATCCCTGTCAGTTCCTCTGGGAAACATTTACATAATTTCATCCGATCCACTTTGATATCCACATCACATATGTACACATTTATAAATCATGACCATATTATATGTGTTCATATCTAACCTTCATGGTTGTCATAAACAATGTAATCTACTTCATAATCAGATGTCAAGCTGGGCAGCTCTACGGAATATATTAATGGATTCATTCAAATTATTACTATTCAACAGTTATATTTTAGTACAAAATCGTAATATGCATTTTGATGCGAAAATTATTGATATTACTAGTTGTGGTTGTATTACAAGATTATGTCACTATCTGGCCTCTTATGGCACTGTTAATAATATTATAACATTAATAATATTATATTTTCAAATTTTCGAAACGGCAACCGTCGTAAAATGGTTCGGATATGGGCGAAAAAAAGGTACCTTTACCAGCTGCGCAGTAGCTGTGTCCGCCACTTTGGGCTTAGTCAGTCCCCATTTCATGTAGGATAGGTATAGAGGAATCGATGCACAAAATCTCAGGTGTCGTAAAATACATACTGTCATCCGCCCACGGGCTCTTGGACTATAGGGGCTAAATTAGAAAAAAAGTGTATATTCACCTCATGATGACCGAGCGAACAAGAGAAGTATTTACACGTCAATCATTCTATATCCCAAAACATTCCAAATATTCAAAAAAAAAACGACAGCACAAAATTCCAAAACTTTTTGCGAAATTATTTAAATTCCACGCTTCTCTATCTTTCGCTTAGCGGTCTTTAATCTTCCATTCATCCATCAACTCAGGCAACGGAAGATTACAGACCCCGATCCGAAGTACACATGATGCATAATTAAACGTCCCAATGATTATTCCAGGCCCGTTCGTAAAGTGTTCGAGAAAATTCCAAATGGAGTTTCTACAAGATCGGCCAACGCCTGGAACAGGGCCGTACTTCGACACCAGTGTGCCGCAGAATTATACGGGACTCGTGGGTCAGCCTATAAGTCTACTGTGCAAGGTCAAGAATTTGGGAAACAGAACGGTATGTGATAATATATTGATTTATTCATACATTAATTATGTAATTAACAAATTTATACATCACTAATAATTCGACTAAGCATTCCACTCGGATGCTGCCGTTCCGACGCAAAATACGTATTAATTTAGGAATTTGCGAGTGAAAAAGGAAATAACAGATATAAAATAATTTATAAATAGTGTACGTTAATAGACATATATAAAGTATAATATTAAAATTATCTGTAATTTGTAGAATCTAGTAATATTTTGGATGGTGAATTTATAAAAAAAGGTCGTTCAAGCATCCATTAAAATAAATAAAAATAAAAAATAAAAATAAAACTACCTTGTTTTCCAGCCATAATTTTTCAGTCTTATTTTAAAACAGGCTAATAAGCAACAACAACAATAAACAATTATTGAAAATATCTAATATAATGTAAATATATAAACATTAAGGATATTATTTATTATAAACTTATTATATTTTCTATCATATATATATATATATATATATATATATATATATATATATACATATATATACATACATATATATGTAAAATCATTATTTATCAAAGGCTTCAAAGGTTTCCAAGTTCTCATTATCTGCGGTATAAATTATAATTACTTCGAGAGATAAAATATGAATAAAGCAATCGACTGCGTAGGTATATATATGACTATGCTCAGGCATACTTGTATGTAATAGTATTTGTACTTATTATACAAATAAAAACGATTTCAACGCTCTTTCATCCTTTATATGGGCGCTACGCCCTTTAAATATTTCATTTATTCTGTTTATCCTAATTCTTTATCAATCAATCGCCCAACAATGGTTATTTTGAAACACTTCGATCGATTAACGAAGCCTTTCATTGTTCGTGATTTATTTGAATTTGTCTGATTTTACTTCAGAACGTAAATTCATTACGGCCCATTGATTGTTTCCTTTTGTGTATCGAAGCACAATAGCTTTTTAGAATAATTCACGCAGCACACACGTTTATATCACAAAATCTAAATGGACGAATATTGCGAATGGCTAGAATTAAATTTCGAACGGGGTTGTTTTAAAATTTGACGCGGTGTTTCAGAAATGACAATCATTCGAGACTCATCTGGCGTAGGTGTACAGAGAAATATCACGTGCCCTATAGAATTAAGTATTAAACGAAAGCGATTATAAAGGGTTGGTTAATAACGGGGTAAGTCGGATCATGTAAATTATTTTATGCGTTTGAGATAATTTTGAATCTATTAACGCAAAAGGATTATTATTATTTTGGTCAGATTATCCAAGGCACGTTTGGAAAATGTTGCAATGCTTTATTAATTGTAGAAAGTAATACCACGGTAAAAATGTTTGTCATTGAAATTATAGAAAGATTTTCTTCTATTGCCTATTTCAAATTTATGATTTTTTTACGCAAAAATGATCGTAATTGGAATTAACAACCCTTATACATATTTAGTGGGATAAAATTGCACGAAAAACATAAATTATACTGAAACTGTTATAGCACTATTCTATACAATATGCTTATGATAAGAATGATGATGGCGATAAATTCATAATAATTCTGATTTTTTCTAAATAAATTGTTATATTGGTCAAAAAAAGATATGGATCCTAAAACGAGAGATTGTTAATTATATTTAATAGCACAGTTTAAACTGGATTTGCAAACAATATTATGCAATACTTCTGTAACGTATAATATAAATTATTTGCTTATTATTTTAATGTGAACTAATAGTTTTATGAAAAATACTTTTATAAATTACGTACCTAAAGCAACTAATTGCTTTTGCAAATATAAATTTAAATTTAATTAAAAATTTAAGATATAATTAAACGCCAAGCAATCTTTCTTTCATCATGCACTTCTAGCAGGACTTTATTTCTCCAGCTTTTCTCTGCAATAAACTGCAAACAGCAAAAATACGAGAACGTAATGTCATCAAACGACATGATAAGGCGCTCTATTCATAAAATTTAGTTCGGTGTACAACCAAGATTTTAAAATAAAAATATGTACTTACAAGCGCATATATATTCGCATGAACAACAAAGTTGGCCACTTCTACAATAAAGCACGTTCGATATGAATACGTTAAGTGGATGCAGAAGTTGAAGCTCGGTGCAGCTTCAAGTTTACACATGTAAAACCGTTCGTTTCGCGTTAAAATACAACAGTCTGTTAGAGAATGGACAGTAAGAGTCGTTGCTAGCTAGCATTCATATTTGCACGAATGCATTCATTAGAGTGGGCAGCTAGGGAAGAAGATAACAATGCTATGCAAAACTAAGTCCGCACGTACTGCCCGTTCATTGTGAAAACGCGGATCGCAATCGACTACAAAATACAAATTCTAGAGGTAATGACATTTGATAGCAATCCTAGTTCAAAGGTTTGATGAAGATATATATCACACATTTGAATTTGATAGGTCAAAGTTCGCAGTGCACAATGCAAATACCAAGTGTATACATAAGGGCACCCAGGCGACATATGACGAACCATTGAACATTGAACATTTTCGAACCATTAAAAACATTATAAAAAGTAATACAAAATATTTGATAAATATCGTTCATTTATAAAATAAATTACCATTCTCACGAAAATTTATTCGGATGAATCAAAATAAAAATAGAAATAGCTCTAAGTGCAATACGCATTGCAATAAAAATGTTGTATGTAGTAGGACAATTCTTTATAATGCACGTCAAACATAGTACGAATTGAAAATTTTTAGATTTAATAGAATTAAGCTTATATTATTTCATGAGCCTCAAATCATTTAAAATTTATTTCCCAAAATTTGATCCATATCATTCATATCCATTATGTACAAAAAAGAACTAGTTGTGAAAATAAATTTCAATCCGACATCAGTTGCACCACTGACTGCATTTCGACTCATAGATACAAATTCGTTTATGCAGTTTATGCAAAATATTTACTATCACTAACATGATTAATTTTAAACGTAAACATATCTGCAGGTCCATGCTAATTTAAAGCAGTCTACAAATTGGAAACCTTGTTATATGTTGTCACATGTCTCTAGTTCCTAGTTTCAGAGTTGAGTTTGCAACAATCCAAGCAAATTTACAGCAAGAACAAAATTGAATGCCTCAATAGCACTAAGAGAAATACTATAGTAGTGAATATTGTATTAAATATGAATGGTAATAATTGAGAAATATTCTCTAAATAAAGAGGAAGAAAGTTAAAATTATGAAATAAAAGTAAAAGCATCATCAAAAGATTTTTTTAAAACAGAAATTCGTGGTTTGATTTAAATTGTGTGCACAGAAATAATATAATAATGTTAAAATATTAATAATGATGCAAAATAATTCAAATTTTACAGAAAAATTCTTTATGTTATTTGAAACATCCATGAAATTATCTGTAATAATTGCTAATATATTAATTCAAAAAAGCAATTCGTTTGTATCGGTAAATTTATTTTATATAAATACAACTATTGATGTCAAAATTACCTCTAGGAAGATCAAACTAATAGTTTCCAATTTATCTCTTCCGCACCAAAGCGACAGAAATGTCGTTTTCATACATCAAAGCCGTTAGTGGCCATCCTAGCCCGGATATTAAACAAGCGGCCGGCGCTTATTTCTCTAATTTACCTAAGCTCGTAATTTACAGAGGATCAAACACAACTCATATCGTTTAGACGCAATTTAGATATAATGAGATGCAAATTAACTACACATTACTGGCACATAGGAGTCGGTGATACGACATAGTATGATAATGAGGAAAACATCATACGCACCCATAAACATTATTCAATAATGACGTGACTGTGTACATGGGATCCAACAATAGCTGTCAGGGAATGCATAGTGACGTGAATGAGTTTTCAGTGAAAACTTTCCTCTGTGTAATAGGAAATTCATGTTATACATTATCTCATCCACTGCAACTTTTTTAACAAAATAATCATAATGTGGGGCTCTTTTCTGAAAGAACTTCTTTAGTGGTGAGATGATGGTAGATATGAAACGCATATTTTAACATTTTGTATTTATCATTTTAAAAACGTAGCAACGTAGCAATCAGCATTAAGAATCAGCTCCTAATAAAAATCAAAAATATATACACCTGCATTAAATAAGTTTCTCATCGGATCTTAACAGTTTGGAGCACCTTTTTTAGGCGAAAGCTTGGACAAAACAAAATAAACAATGTTTTAAATATTAATTAAATGATTTTTGAAATATTCTTACCATCCTTAATGATGTACTCAACTCATGCAATAATTTTAAAATATCCGCACCCTCTTTATTATATATATAAAAAAGAACTCAAGCGCAAGAGGTAATATGAACTGCAACCAAAAAAAGAAAAGCGAACACACTCGACTTTCATAAAAGTCATAATTCAGGACGAACAAAACGATGTTCTCTAAGTACCATAGTCGTCGCTCTCAACAATATGTTCAAAGTTTTATTATTTATAAGAATCTAAGAAACCATCTGGAGAATAACAAATTGCATAAAATGAGGACATGAGAGAAGTAATCATATGACATATAATCAAATGTTATTGAATAGCTATTTGAAAGTTTGAAAAAGTTGGGTATTTATTAAGTTTCCTTTCAATTTCGTTCTACCATAAACTATATAAGAATGTATTAAAATCTGTATGTTTTGGCATTATGTATATTCTATAAAGAATAATTGGATTTAATTATTATTACAATTCTTTCTCTCTCAAAAGTGCATGCAAGTTGCACATGAGTTTTCAATTTCTAACTACTCAGCCGCGTCGTGTTCAAAGCGCGCAATCTATTTGCTCGAATTTATAGTTCATATCTTTTAAATTATATTCCCGTTTTATGCAGCATATAAAAATGAATATATTTGGAATATATTTACAGAACTACATTTTTTATACATGTATAATAAAATACTTAACCAATACGTAATAATAGCATTGAATTCATGGCATTTATTGACATTTTTGATCAAGCATTCAA